AAGCACTGTCTGACGCGTCTGCCTCCGCGACCCGAAAGGAGAAGCGGCGATAGAAGATGAAGATGAAGATCTGTGAAAAAGCCTCAGCATTTGTCTGTTTCTAGCAAAGTCTAACAACATATTACGACTCTTCCGCTGAGAGTCTTTCTTTCACTGACTGCCTAGGAAAAGTACTGCCGGAAACACCAAGCGGAAGTGCAGACTTTAGAACCAACATTCCAATAGTAGAGCTTCCATTTGCATAGATTCAGAATTCCAGATATATAGCAGTTCGTCAAGATGAGTCACAATGTCTCCTGTTGGTACCCTGCGGGTTTGTCTACCAGTTGCTAGGAATTCCGCTGAGCAAATCGTTGATGAAAATTCACCGTACTGAATAAGAGGCTATGCAACGCACAGATATATAATATTTCATATTCAAAAAGTTGCAAATCATTTTTATGACAACGTTTACGACAATTTTACCATATACAATACCTTCAAGAGAAAGCGGCGTTCTCTGGACGTCAGCACAAGCACACCATAAGTTATTCGCTTGCCCGGGTATGTCAAATGACTAATCGAATTCCAAATTTCATGGCCGACTGTACGCTGTTTTGTCCCTAGTCGCCTATGGGAGCAATTTAACCAGGCCACGGTTCCATTTCATCTGATGATATATAGTACCAGATACAATACATTTCACATTCACATTTCGCATTTTTATCCGCTAGATCCAGTTCCAGATCATCTCGAACGACGACTCAGGAACTGGTCAGGAGCTGGTACTCCTCACATGTCTTACGCATAAACATTCCAGTTGTTCGTACGCTCGAATATGTCAAATGATGATTGACTCTCATAACATCAGGTTTCACGGCGTGTTGCATGCCCTTTCCTCTTAGCGGCCGATTGGTTGTTTCTGCAGAACACTGCTCCACAGATTTAATCACCTGCAGTGCCAGATGAATCTCATATCGTTTCGCCAGCTAGGTTCACCTCGGTTTCATCACAAGGGGCGTTCTGAAACGGGTACTCCTCATATGCTATCGCCGATGCATTATTATTATTGGCTTTTACGCTTGAGCATATATTGTAATGAATGACTCCTCCAAGAGCAGATGTGTATGCGATACCGTATGAGGAATAGCAATTCTTGAGAAATCACTAATAATGATCACGAAGTTGCTGTAGCACTGCAGCACTGTAGTTAGTTAAATATCATGAAAAAGAGACCTGATTGAATGGCCCGTGAGCCACTAGGAATAAGGTGGCTGTGCAGTCCACTATGAAATATGATCTCAGAGGAATCATTCGTTTCTTGGACATTGCGCATATCTGATGAAATAATGCCCAGTCTAGCTTTGAAGCAAAATTTTGAGAGGAAGACATGCATGGGTGCAATATAAAAAATAAACACAATGTATAAACAAAGTTTGCTTTTATTCGAACTGTCAGCTATTATTTTGGCAATTGATTCACTATTTAGAGTAACAAAAAATTGCTGACATTCTTTTCAACAGTTTTGTACTAGAGCAGACGTTTCGGCTAAATTCAATATTTAACATTGTTTGCGTGGAGACGTACTTGAAGTGCCAGAAGTATTTTTTACTTTTGATGGAATTGTATCGAAAAATCATAAATACCGATGACATACTGTATACCCTTACCTACGTATCATTGTTCAATAGTATTTGAAAGAAGCGGATATGTTTTGCCTGTAAGTGAACGCATCATGTGTTAAATTATGTATCTCAGGAAGAATTGACCTGTGATGTTTTTTGCATGCACTTCTAAATAAGAGAAATGAACCGATGGCCGGCTTTAGTATGCGCTGTTGGCGCGTGCTCGCGGTGTTGCCATGGCTGACGTGATGTCAACGCGTAAGCTGCCCGAAGAGCTGATCGTACTGAGCTCGAAGTACGGCGTGTCGACGGGGCAGACCCCGACGAGAGACCGCGATCATGATCACGATCCGAACGATGACGACGACTTCCTGCAACAACACGTGTCCGGATTGAAGAAGACGATCAGGGCGATCATTGCGCGCGAGATGCGTATCAAAGAGGGCTATGAGAATATGCGACGGGTGACTAAGGATCGAAAGCAGTTAGATAGCCTGAAGAGGGACGTGCGCCTGATCAGCGACAAGATCGGCGAACTGCATTCAGACCTGCAAACGCTGGACATCTACGCGACGGGAACCGTTGGTAAGTTTAGCTACGTTTTTCGTTGATAGTCGTCGAGGTTTCATAGTTATTAGTTTCGTTCTATCTGTCTGTCATTCATGTCGTTCGGTTATTTGTGTGAGTTGGTTACTACATGCAGTGGCTTGCTTGTGCTGGTCGATGGCAGTTGTGTTGCTGTGCGTTTCATGTCGGTCAGCTCTATTACCCGGATTGCTGGCACGTGAACTGTTGCGGCGCCATCGCGCTACAAACCTTCAGCCTCCTCCTCATCTTCCCGTGCCCTCATAACTTCTTCCTCATGCTCGTAGCTTGCGCTGCCGGATCGTCCGTGCGAAATCAGTGGCCGCTGAGTGTTTCGCGCTGGCCGTGAACAAAAACTGTGGAAAAGTTAACATCGAAGCGGGTCGCGATGCGGAGGCGACAGCTTCTGGAGAACAGTTAGCGCCGTTTCGATGGCCG